AATATTCAGCCCATCGATCAAGAGGGGGTTGATGGTCGTGAATCAGTGTGTCACTAGATACCTTAGTTACTCACGTACGTCTATTTTCTTAGGGCCCTTATTCCTAATTGGACGGAAAAGATTGCGACTATAACCATACCCGCAGCCTTCTACATCTCTCTACACGTTCCCACCCACCACCTCGTGCGGTAATTCCTCAAATTCTTGATTAGCTGGGGTGTAAGGGAGTTGCGCGCTGTGCCATATGTGGCATCAAGAAGAAGGGTTCTGCAGGCGTCCAGCAGGGCAACCGATGTCAACGAGATCCATCATTTATGTTTTGAGTCTACTCCAGAGTCCACCGTTGTTTCTGTTGATATTTGCATAGCTTCCTTGATTTGCTTCCAGCGTTCACTGAATCCTTAGATTGGTGATTGAACTGATAAGCGATCAAAGAGCCCGCTTCGCAGGCCAATTTGCAAAAATTGCTGACCTTGTATGGAACAATACTAAGGAAATCTCACGGTGTTACCGCAAAAATGTTTGCACCAAGGCGGTATATCAGAATATGTCAAACGAGTCTGGTTTAGATTCAAGTTAAGATTTGGAACATAGAATCAAAAATACGTTTAGGCTTCCCCAAAAAAGTCGATTTACTCTGTAGCACTCGGATGAACCTGCTTCATATGAAGTTTCCCCGAAAAATGTCTTCCTTTTTTCAGATCCACCAGCCTATGTAATATCATGTCAGGGCATACGTTATTTCATCCTTTGTTTACTAATGTGTGACATCCATCAACTGATACTGTGCCTCCATCGTTTCCCCTGGATTGACAGCAAGATCCCTAAAATACTGCTTTTTGGTTCAGCTGTGACAACCGAAAGATGTTGTGATCTCTTAATACTTAATAAGTTATCGAACATTTTCACAATTTCTGATTGGTGGCGGCTCAGTTCAACTGGCAACCATCGACATATGACCTAACAGCTCAACCTCGACTGGGCAAATACTCCCAGTTAGTGCCAGTCCTCCATTTGAAAGGGAGGCCTCCCGGGATATAAGATACCTCAAACGGCATAAGGCTTCCGGCCCATACGCGGTTTCCATCTACGCTTAACGGTAGAGGCCTTGTGTTAGTCTCGGAGTTGACAAAACTCCTGGGCTCAGTATGGGAAAGGAAACAGGCTCCAATCAAATGGTGTACATTGATCATCTTACCTATTTATAAAAAAGGTGAGAGACCCTTTTGTAAAAACCACAGAGGAAGTAGTTTAATCAACATCATCTCTACACTTCTCGCCGAGATCATACTCCGTCGATTGTCTACCGCACGTGAAGAGCGCACGCCGAAAACCAGTCTCGTTTTAGGTCTGGTCGAGGTTGTGTTAACCACATCTTCATTCTTCGCAGAACTCTGGAGCGCCGGCATTCTTTTCGTAGACCCATCATCTCTTTCGTTCTCTATCTGAAAGCGGATTTCAACTCAGTCGCCCTCTCTAAACTCTTGCGCTGCCTTTCCCTGGAGGGTGTGCCCGAGAATTTAATTTCAATATTACAATTCCTTTATACTAATAACCGGAACCGAGTTCGAGCTTACGGCTTTTTTCACCCGAGTTCACCACGGAAAGTGGTGTTCTTCAGGGTTTCTCTCTTTCTCCTTTACTATTTAACTTTGTTATAGATTTGATTATGAAAACAGCTTAATCCTCGTACTAGGATAGCGGTATCGATTTACTTGCATATGGCAGACTGTCTAATCTGGAGTGTGCAGACGACACTGTGCTGCTAAGTGAAGATCCACGAACGTAACAAGCGTCTCTTGATATTTTGAGTGCCAGTATAACTATGTTTGGCATGTGTTTTACACCTTTAAATCGCAACATGTTGCTACGAGACCGGATTGGTCCAGGACCCAGACTCATACTAACTGGGAAATTAATGCACCAGGTGGATAAGTTTTGTTATTTGGGCAGCCACATCTCACCCGGTGGAGGCATCACGGATGAAGTGCATACAGAAGTCTCCGTTGGCATTTGACAAATCTATCCTTTTTTCAGTTGAAAATGTCCGAATATAAATTTATTGTCATTTACTATGTGGATAGTGGTATAGTGCGATTACCCTGTCGTTTCACATCGTCTCATCCCTTTCACCCGTGATCTTGAACACGTAAATTCCCTCTGACCCCTTCTGTGATCCTATTGGATCATTTCTGCGATCTGCAGAACTTGGGATCGTTCACCCCAACACGAGACAATCTGATTACCGGCTTTTACGTTTTGTAATGCCCTTGTTGTCAGGTCCAGTCCAGCCGTGGTCTGATGACACTCCTGCTGCACAGACGAAGTTCAATGAGCCTGCCTAAGACTCACGGCTGTACACAAGGTTTGGCTTCTGGCTCGGGTTAGCTGGGCCAGCACTAGGTCTCTTGTTGCAGCTGAACCATACGACCGATCGATAAATGAACCCGATCGGTGGTATTATTTTCGGGCCGGCAAGGGAGGAGGATAGGCTCCGAATCCGATGCTGCCCAAATATTGGAAGAGAATCACCACAGGAGAATCGGTTGTGGAACGATGCGTAATGTCGGAAATCCGGTACGGAAAATTTCAAGCGAATATGACACGGACAACATTTGACTCGTCTAAGACACACGTACTATTTTTCGAAGCGCATTTGGTAAACAGATAATCATAATAAACCTTTGAACTTGTCTTAACAACGGATAACGGTATCCTCCAATGTGGGCCAGCGAAAAGCTCTTGTTTTTTCCCAACTGGCTGTTGAACGATCTCGCTAACTATCTCGGAGATAGAATTCCGAAAGAAAGAAAGAACAAATAATACGGAAAAAAATATTTCATATGATAAACTTTGTTCCATATGTTTTCCATTCTGCTGCTTGCATGGCAAAATCCAGTGAAGATAGTTTTCTTCCACCTTCAGAATGGTTGCAGTTAGAATACTTTCGCGCTGTGCCGCAAAACTCGGTTTAAGCTCCTCTGTAGTGCTTGGTTTTTCGGGAATAAACGGTTCTCTGTAGAAATCCCGACAGAAAGAAATCGAAGATGAACAGATCAGGTGATGAAACCACTGACATTGGCCAGAAGCATTCGAGAACACTACCCCAGTTGGCTTAGTCGCGGATTGACGAGAACCGGGGCCAAGGTGATCACGGATCATTCGGTCGAATCCCAACATCATGTCAGAATGAGTGAAGCGATCAGGTCCATCTACACGATCACCGGTGTGAGATCAAAGCAGATCAAGCATCGCTTACTGTCAACAGCCGAAGCGATCGCGATTCCTTTGAACCAGTCCCTCATTGTACGTTCAAGAAAAGTAAGTCAGAGCTCTGGATTTACTATGGCCCTAAATCGACATGAAGCCGGTTATCAACTGAGTGTCAAATCGTCTATCTATCTGATACATTTTACACTACAAATCGCATTTGCAGATTGATTTGAACTCTCATACACCCTATACTTTATTGTCCATAGTATTCATGCACTCACATAAATACAGAAATTATCTAAGCTTTTTTCTGTTTCCTTGAATAATGTGATGCATCCAAGTGTGTCACGTACCATATGCAAAATTCTAGTCAGCGCTCAGGATCATTGGCACTTACAAGCCTGTGCAAATGGTTGAACGTTAATCGCAACAGTATCTCTTAGAGCACTGACGAAATTAGACAGACCACTGATTGAAGGTAATCGCAACCAGGGTTTAAAGCACCTGTTTACTGTGTTTGAGTGATATACCTCTACTTGTGTTAACGGCAATTTAGTGAGACATATAAGAACACGATTAAGAACAGACGGTAATTACACTGGTTGTTTTCATGGTTTGCTCACGTACTCGTTGTTTGTCGATCGTCGATCGTTTGGCGTTGATTATGATGTACTACCGGGACAAGGAAAACCTTTCACTGACGGTGAAGGATTCAGCAGCATTTGTGCAACGAGGGTTACCAGAAACAGTGCCAACCACTGATTAATAAATTCAAATATACGGAAAATCAATGGACATCCTTTCACTGTATACAACCAATCTAACCAATGGAGGTCGATCATTTGCTCCAGTGGGCTAACGTATTTACCGAAAACTCTGCGCGCTTACCTCAGCATTGCTCGTCCGGCTGCTCCACCAGATTCGTCCCATGCTGCCTAGATAGCGGTGTTCAAACACTGAAAATCTAACTTTATCCTGTTTTCTTAATTATTACACCAAAGCGTTTGATCAACGAACATCGTAGTAGTCACTAAAGTCTTTAATGTTCAAGTGGATCCCTGGACGAATCAGAAAGGCTTCCTGGCGGACCATATGCAATCCCAGACAACCGGATGGACAACGAGGATCACCTACTTGAACTCTGCGCGGACCACGGATTGTTCCTGCCACATAAGAAACGACATCGCCCTAGATGAAAACCGCCAACCTGCTCACTGCGCTGGACCCAGATCGACCACATCTCCATCGGTTACCACTGGAGAGGGTCGATTCAAGACTACCTTTCTTATTGGTCCACATCTGTGGATACGGATCGCGCTTTATTACGAGTCAAATTCTCCTTACACCTGGCAAACAATCATAACAACCACCGACAAAGGATACTCACGATGGAACATCAGCGATTGCTGTAAATCTGCCATCGAAGTGGAATTCGCCGCTGGCCTATCAGTTCAATCACCAACCAAAGGACTCAGTGATCATTGAACTCAAATGAAGGAAGCTATACAAATAAGTTGCAAGCTTTTCTGGACACCTTGAATGCCAGTGTCTCCATGTTTTGTATACGTTTTGCACCTTCAAAATGCAAAATGGTTCTTCATTTCACCCGGTGGACGCATTATGGATGAAGTATTAGCTCGCATACACAGGGCGTTTGCCAACTCGAGACATCTGTGGTGACGTCCCGACATCCGGCTTTCTGTGAAGGATCGAGTGAATGCTGCGGCAGTTCGACCAATTCTGCTATATGGTGCAGAACCTTGCCCTTTAACAAAACAGGATAAAGAAAGACTGATGGTGTTTGAACATTGCTGTCTACGTCGCATTGCACGAGTCTGGTGGGGTAACCGAAAGAGCAATGCTAAGGTGAGGCGCAGAGGTAATCGCGGTCGCCCACTGGAGCAAATGGTCGACGCTCATAGATTACGTTGGTTGGGGCATATGTTTCGCATGCCACCAAACAGGTTGCCACGGCGAACGATGTTCACCGAGGCAGTGGGTGGAAGAAAGCCAGCGGTGGTTAAGCTAAGACATGGATCGAGAGAATGGAAACCAGGAAAACTGGATCATATAGGTGCCTTTAGGCTCCCCGGCTGGAGACCTCGGGATGATCGTAAGCGATACTTAAATACAATGAGCGATATGGCTGGGTGTCTTAAAGAGCCATAGTGCAGAATATCTTGAAAAGATTCCGTGATTTGGATTGCACACAGGTAATCCGTTCTAACGATCGAGTGACGCGCAAATCCCGAAATCAATAGAATACGGGGATTGTCCTGAAATGCGGTATGATTATAGCCAATGAATGGTTAATATAAAATAAATATAAATCTCCAATCGTGAGGCAACTCGGGGAGTACGTGTTTGCACTGCCAAGGTAAAATCAAACGACAGTGCGTCTTCATTAAAAGAGTTGAGATTTACAATTAGAACAACATACCCAAATGGTGACAAGCACAAGCGCACAAGGGTTCAATGTCTGACAGCCAGCCAATCACATGTACGGGGTCAAAATGTACATCACTTGAGGGACGGGGACGTGGGTATGCATATGTGTGTGTTCGTGTCTGCCCACCGGGTCAAGAAACAGGCGAGCGTGGAGAGCTGAGGATGAACAACTGAATACGAAGGCGATGTGGGTCACTGGCGAGAGAACACAGACGGACGGGTCAATAGGCCCACTGAACAACGCAGGCGCAGCAGGTCCTATAGAAAACGGGAGAAACGACACCAATCAAGAGATAATCAAGGGTAGCTGGGGAAAGGTACACGCCGTTTGGAGTATTATCAGGGAACGTCTGTTTGAAGATCGAAACGGATTCAACACATAGTTCACTTTCTTTTCGACTCTACATTCATCCTTACTGACTTTCTCCTACTGCTTCATCCAAATAGGCAGCCAAAGACAGCGACCAACACCGGCGCACGAAAGTGCATGGTTAATAGTTGTACAGACTGAAAGTGAAATTTTGTGCGGTTCTTTATTTTTATGCGAATGGTCTTGTAGATTCTGGACAAGAGGAACACACATGCTCATACTGTTAGTTGGCTTGTAAAGTTCCCTTTTGGAAAAACGTATACCTACATAATTTTTGAAGCTCTAAAAGGTCTTCAAAAGGATTCTATTGTTGGAAACTTGTCCTCATTTACTAATGCTGTTTATGTTTGCCAGCTACAATAACACATACATGTAACATAAGGAGGGAGAAAAATCCTCTAATTTGTGTTGTCTATTGAATATACCATGATACAGACAACTTCCATAATGAGCCGCAACCATGCAAAGGCTGCTTGAGGACATATGCCTAGGATTCGTTGAGCGGCTAGGTGGGATTCACACACAAAACCGCTAAACCGATAAGATAGACACTTAAATTTCGGGTAGGGAAATTTTTCACGGGAATAAACTTGAAGACTGATAAAGTAAATTGTAAAAATTTCGAAGTATCGAAACATAGGTGTATTCAAAAGAAAGGTAACCGCTTAGACATTTGACTTACGTATTTATGCAACACATTGGGTAACGACACTTTTATCAACAAAATATAAAATCACACAAAGTTTCTATCATAAGCAGTAGAAATATGGCGAATCACCACACGGGTGGTCGCTGTTCATCATTTAGAATGCTAACGTGGTTATTTCTAATTTAATTTAATTATAAACACAGGGGAATTATTTTTAATCCCACTCATTCGCAGTTTGGGATTCTCTTTGAAAGCTTTTTCGAAATCACTAATCGCTGGTATATGGAGCTTTTATCAAGAATGGTATTTTGACTTGTTTACTGTAGAAAACGTTTTGCCATTTGATAATGCTTCCATGTTACCTGGAATAATGGCCTGTATAAAAGATAAATGTTTTCTTTCTAGTTGTGAATACAGCTCCCGAACAGTGAATCTGTTCCTTTGGCATGATATAATCACCTTCAACGTTTGTGACATTTTCTGTTGCGCAATACACGCCAATTTTTATGTAAGGGTAACAAAACATGAAACACTAGAATACTGTCAACAACAGGCATCAAACTGAACCGGCGGAAAGGCGACCTCCTCGTTCGTTGACCTGATTAATCGAAGAATGCTGCTACACAGATCAATCGCTTCTGAAAAATCAAGTTGAGCTCCGGTAGCTTCCTCCATTCGGTTCACCGGTTCAATTGCCGCAAAGAGATTGATTTTTCTCCATGATCGTACATTTAGGGGGTATGAGGATGTACGACCAACTAATGTTTGATCGCACACCGAACCTTAGATCCTCTGCGATTCACGTTTCGTTTTAAAAAATGGTAACCGGGTAAGGCTTGGATACAAACCATTAAGATAATGATACTGGGTTGTCACAATATAGAGTGTTGTTGCAGAAAAGTTATGAAAGTGTTTATGCTGAGTAGTAGTAGTAGTATTGTCGATCTTAAATGGTGCTGTTTTATAGAATCATCTATAAATATTCCAAATAAAGAATACTGTCCATTCATATGACCTTTATAAAGAAAGCTTTTTACCAAAGATATGGTAAGATTTGTGAATAATAATAGCTATTATTAACGTTTATTGAAAGTTGATTTCTTTCCTCATGGTATAGTCTCAGCAAATATCTCAGTGAGGCCAAAACTTCTAAACCAGAAAATTGCTTCACGACTCCTGCGGATAATGCGTTTGTTACGCATGGACACCTGTAATAAATGATTGATGGTTGTCTTAAAAGTTAGGCCATACAATAAATCCGAATTAACAAAATAGTACTATCATCTGTGGATATAAAATTCACAAACAAAATATTCTTTGCAGTTGAATTATTGGGCCAGCGCATGGGTGATTGCCAAGATGACCGGTTCTCATCAATATCATCTGAATGACTTATGATTGATAATAAACGCCAAAAGTATAGAAATAATCTACACGATAGGTTTGAGTTTTTCCTAAAAGGATCTTGCTCGTACATGTTTTCACTCAGGTAAATCCTCACAAACATCGAAATTCCTAACGACGAAATGTGATAGTGGTCAGAAATTTGATGAAACTCAGCTGTGGATTTGGAACAGAAATGATTGATGTTTGGGTATTTAAAAGAAGGTGTGCTCCTTTATATTTCTAACAACCCTCGTTATGCATTTGATCTCCTTTTAGAAGTCAGGAAATTAATTAAGTGGGGCTTTTTCCTGATAAAAGAACCTCAGTGAGTTTGCCAATGGAACACTCATAGACATATGAAAGTGTACCTCATGT